ATCAAACAAAGTACACAGGATGGTGTCATGTAGCCTTTTTCCACTTGTGTAAGGTATAAGTGTCACAGTTGTTTCAAAATTTAGGTTGGGAGCCTGCCTAGTAACCCCAGCTCCGGCATCGTCTGGTTGGCTATGGGATACACTGGAATGCCTGATGTCTGTTTCAAGATGACAAAATGGATTTGGGGCGCAGAGCAGTCCAAATATAGTAAGAAAGGACCAGCAATGCTCTTTGGCAGTAAACCTCTGTTTCAGTTTGTCATGCAGAGCTGAATGCTATAATTGCGGCATTTAGAAGAGAAGCTGATCTGTCAGCCTGCACTCTCTATGTTACCACACACTCCCTTGTGATGACTGTTCTAAGCTGGTGGCTCAGTCTGGGATCAAGTATGTGGTGTTTGCACACCCTTTCCATAATGGTAGGCTATGTAGGAAACTCTTAAAGGGACGACTCCGAGATGAGATCACGTGAGATAACTGATACATACCAATGGAGATGTTACTACTATTACTTAGGCGGTATGGTATATGGAGAGTGGGTACGACAACTTTGCAAAAATGACAATAAATCTTAAAGATCTATCTATAAAATTAGGCAAGTCAAGGTAAAATTTTAACATCACATGATTTGGTGTTAAGTCTGGTACTTTCAGTAAGACACCTCGGAATGATTGTGCCCCAGCCCCAGAAAAAGGCCGAAGAGATGTAGATTTTCCATTGGATGATTACTTCATGTCTCTAGCAGTGTTGGCTAAATGTCGAAGTGTTATTTCTGAGGAAGAAAAAGTGAGGGTTCTCATCAGCCTAGTTTTTTAAATTCTCACCCAATCTATGCATCTATATAATTATACACTAGAGAGTTGGTGCTTGTCTTGTCTATCAAGAGCCACGTCGTGCCATTAGTGTTGGTTACAGTGGATACATTGACGGCCTGTCAGATGGAAAGAAGACAGAATATGGTGCGTTAACTAGGCACATTGAAAGTAGGACATGTTGAATCTCTTCTTCCAGTGTGCTGTGCAGAGTTCAATGCAATTGTGAGTGCCTACAGATACCACGCAGACCTCACCTCTGCCACTCTATACACCACTGGAGTTCCTTGTTCAAGATGTGCCACAAAGATTATACAGTCTGGAATCAAGACTGTAGTCCATGGTGGCGAGGAAAAGTCAATGGAGCAAGAGGCTAGGGAGGTCTTTCTACTGGGGAAAGGTTGCCACACTGTAAGTTTCATTATTGTACTACGACCTCAAGAAATGTGAGATATATCTTTTTTAGCAAGTACGAATGCCAAACCAAGAAACCAATCATTGAGATTGATCTTCGAGGGCTAGTTGTTGACCAGAGAGAAGATGGGGAGGGAGGGGGAGCGGGAATAAGAGATGAGTATTGGAAATATGGACGTCAAAACATTTTTTAACCCAGCTAATATTTTTATATACCCATATTTTTGTTTGTGTGATATAGTTATAACTTATAGAACACTGTAAAGTTAAAACATACCTGTAAAAGTGCTAAAAATAATATACACTCAATGTTTCATTTCGTAAGCTATGATACAGCTCTCATCAGAAGTGGACACGTCTCCAGGTCTAATGTAATGTACACTCCTCCGCCTTCCTGTCTGGAGACTCACAAAGCCACGCCCACCCGTCAGAACATAGATTGCTCCCTCTGTGGACCCACCACTCAAGGCCGGGGCAACCGACTGTTCGAGAGTTGTGAAGAAGTCGGGTAGCGGGTGAAGTGGGATGGGCCCAGCAAGATGGAGCGTGGAGGGGTCTTCATACGGACTGGGAGATCTCTTGCGGTCCAGATAGGGGCTGTCTTCTGGCGTCACCTCGTCATAGAGAGGGGGAGGAGTCACCTCTGCTCTCGGTTGAGGCAAAGTGCTTTCTCGTTCTTCTTCGACAGGTGACGGTCGCCCCTTCCCTGCTCTTGCCGCGGCGTCCAGGGTACCCAGACGACGGAATGTCCCAGTGTCTTCAGTTTCATCTGTACCCTTCCCGTCTCCACCCTCCGCTGACCTTCTCTTGTTGGAGCTCTTTCGTCTGACTGGCATGGCCAGCTGTGTCTCGCTGCTCTCATCCGAACCTTGAGCTGTTGCAGTTGTGGCAGTTTCAGTAGATGCCCCTGTGTCTGTGTTGAGTTCTCGTTGAGCTTTTAGAGTGTCAGCTTTCCCTGGTTCATCGCTGGCACCTCCATCTGCACCCCCATCTGTCGTTGACTTGAGGGTACCAGTGGGGCTCAAATCATCGAAATTGGGTGGGGGGAGGGGAGGGAATGTGGACGAATCTCCTCCCTGTTCTGTTGGCTGTGGAGCAGAGCCGTCTTCTCCTCCAGCAGTAAACACCTCGCCTTCTCTGGTCACGTGCGGCAGGAATTCTCCCTCATCTGCCTCCACCGGCTCCCATTCCTCCTGGAACCTCTCCTGCTCCTCCGAGACAAACTGATCGAATCGACTCGAGGAGAGGGTCCCTGCCGTTTGGGTGGAAATGAGGACCCGAACTCCGCTGGAGTGGCCGTGGAGTGCCATGTACGGTTTCCCGGTGGTGACCGGTACGGTCTTGAGGTAGGGGGTGCGGTAGACCATTATGGCACCAGTGGACGTCCCCAGCCACAGGTAGCCCTTGCAGAGGAGGAGGGAGGTGATGTGGAGGTTGGTGACTCCATGCAGCTTGCTGCCCAGGTTGTGCCCTATTGTCATTGGAAAGTACTTGCATAATACTAGGTCGAAAATAGAAAGTTTGGTGAACAAGTATGGCCATAAATTTCATGTTTCACCATAACAACCAAATCTGTGATGCCTTTCCATGTGCAATGCACACTTGTTACAATCTTGCAATTCAAAGAACTAACACATGTCAATGATGCAGTGTTCCACTCAATGATGTATGGGATAGTGTACTGTTAAACACAGATTTAGGCAGTTCTCATGAAATCATGTTTACTGGTGGGACACAAGATCATGTGTGTGTATTTAACTAGAAGTAAAAACATAAACACAGCTTAAAACATCCTGCGTCAACACTTAGCTAGTGTTGTGCCAGCTGGCAAAAGTAAAATTCAAGCTATATACCACTATGATGTTTTGCCCCTTGCAAAGTCACATGAGACATAATACTTTGAGACCTAATGCAAATTTAGGCTGTGATGAATTGGACTTCACATTGCCATGGACTCCAGTGATGTACTTTCTTTTATGATAATAATTATGTCAAGGAATTACAGGGTGCTTTGGCTTACGAGTAGGGTTCTTCAGATAACTTACTGGCAGCAATGTTCCTGAGGGCTTTCTCTATGTCAATCTCCTGGAGGAGAGTCTTGGTGACGGTGTGGAAGAGCTGAACAGTGGAACTCCTCCGTAGGCTGATCCACACTCCTGAGCCAGACGACGCCATGTTTCTTACCACTGCACCAACCTTCTGGCTCAGCTGGAAACTACCCTGAGGAGTGTGTGCAGGCGAGAAAGGTGGGTAGAGAAGCGATGGGGAGGGTGATAGCATATTACTACCAGTCACAGCGAAACCTCACTAATCCAAGTCTCTATAAAACGGCCACATCACTAGCACCGATTGACTTGGTCCCAAGTTTGGCTCATCAACTACCAAGACTCCACTCTAAAAGACTCATAGTCAAGGTCATGCAGGATTTGTGTCAGAATGACTGCTTTCGTAAGCATCTCTTACAGCAACCCTTGTCAGAGTAAAGGTTAAGAATGGAGATTCTAGCAGTCCACAGTCGTATGCTATATAGCATACACAGCTTATGTGGTTATCCCCAACTCCGCACTTCGTGACAATACATGTGTACAATACAAGTGACTCATACTGAAACTTTTTGAAGAGAGTAAAGCTGCCAAGGCACTCTAAAACACTCCCTTCCTTCACAGCATATGGAAACTGTTATTCTTTCCACATACGTGACTGGACACATGTTTACTACGTTTGCATGCGCCAAATTTAGAGTCCGGAAAATTTGCTCTAGTCCACGCATCGACCAATCAGATTGCACAAATTACCCAGCTCTATATACCTCTCGTCTGCTGGAGGCCATGTTGAAGACGTAGCACCTGTTCCCAGCTCCCAGCCAGAGTTTCTGCTGCACCTGACACATGCAGTTGATGGGGTCATCTCCATCGTGTATCCGGAAAGCCACTGGGTTGTCCAGGTCCCATGCTGAGTCTAGCAGACGAGCAGTTGTAAAGCCCAGTATTGGATAACCAATGATTTCAGAGGGAGAGAGAGATTGTCTAGGACTGGCATGTGATAGCTTGGAATAGAGCATACAGGTGTAATCCATAACGTGTTTCAAGTCAAAGAGGAATTGGCTGATGGAAAGTCTCATTTGGGTCTACAGAAGAGCTGTGTTTAAAGCACATTTTTAACATTGCTAGCAGGATTGTATGGTGCATATTTCTTGTACAGTAAAACAATTTGACAATTTCACGGCAATCACCTTTCGGCCTCTTGTAAATGTAGACATTGCCTTCAACAGCTATGAACACCTGGTTCTTGTAATACCTGGGATAAGTTCATACATAAGGTTAGTGGTTGGAGATTTTCCTCGATGCTACAGTATATCATCCCCGAGCTCAAGAGTGCCAATGTATGGTTATTGGTGTGTTTGATTTCACGTTCAACACTACATGAGGATCTATAAGCAAGTGCAGATGTGAGTGGGTGAAAGAGTTTTCCTATAGCAATACACTTCCAGGGAAACACTTAATGGCCTTTCCATGACGATTGACAACAATGGTAGTGACCTGAGTTTTTAATGAAAAGCACATCAACTAGAAACTCACTCGATGCAGGGCCAGCAAAATTGATGACCTCCATGACCTTATGAGCCATCTCATTGGATGTTGGGTGGATCATGAGTCTGTGAAACAACAAGATTTGGGTGGTATGTGTCGAATAAACTACTTTACTGGCCCATTAATCAGCTCATGCACAGAACTATGCACATGGTAAATGGGGCAGGGTTATTAACCCTTAGCAAGCCACGGGCATATATATATATATATGCCCACGGCCTCCATAAGTCCATAAGAATTTATATATGGCTATAATACTAGACGTTAAGCATAGATAACCCTGCAATAATAATTATACTTATGCCTTCCATGCAACAGCACACACTAATAGGCAGAGATATTAAGGCATACCCACCACTGGTTTGATTCTTATGCATGAGGGGAAGTAAATAAAAGCCAACAAACCCACCTGAATACCTTATATGCTGTGTGATATGTAGAAAATAGGGTGGCCTAAACGTTTCGTGTTTTTAGCAATCAAGTGGAGGGAAAGACAGGCCAACCAACCATCCTGAATAGCTTGACTATAGCTGAAGTATGCAGTGTGATTGTTGAAAATAGGGTGGCCTAAAATTATTCGTACTTTTAGCGAGCAAGTGGAGGAAAGGATAGCAGGTAACTTTCTCCTGCACACCCTCAGAGTTTGAACACTTTTTGCATTTTTTGCAGGCACGTGAGTAAATGAAATGACAAGCTAAGTATCTCTAATACTTTGACAATAGTTGGAGGGTGGAATAGAAAAACTTAATTTGGATACAATTGCTAACTTTTGAGGGGGAAATTTTCCTGTTCGTACAGTGAACACTTACCTCCTCAAAAGTCTTAGGGTTTGAATGTAGAAACTACGTAATGTTGACTGGCGAAAGACTCTCCTGAATACCTAGACTAGAGATATCAGAGAATGTTGACACATACTTGCCAGTCTGAGAACCCATCCAGATTGTCTCGGAGTTGGCAGAGAGGGAAGGAGCTCCGATGATGGCGGAGGACATGGAGCTCTGGAGGGGAGATGACTGGTGGCTGGAGGAGTCTCTGGGCACATAGCACATGGCCAGGATACGAGTCGAGTCCACCTACATATGTAGACATGACATGTAATATTATGGGTGTGTGAAGTATGTAGCTATACTAGAGGACAATTCAATTTGTCACGAGTGTTTTCGCGTGTATTCAGAATCACGTAGAACACAGTGCAGAGCAGCTAAACCAATAATTAGCTTAAGAATGCCCGTGGCATCTGTTTGTAATCGAATCATACTTCCAAAACAGCCAAGTTACGCCTAATAAAGGCTAATAATTTGGCGAGCAATCCTGACCGCATGGTACACTGTTGTGCATGGCAAATGTGACTAGAATTAGCAATCCGTGAATGCTCACATACAAAGGTACTAACTTTTTTCCTTTAATATACTGATTATAAGCAAGCGAAGAAAGCCCACCTAATCGTCTAAATGCACAAATATTTTTTTAATATAATATTCTGACCCGCAAAACATATAAACAAAGATAGCCCTTTACATGAGTAATACTGGTGTTAGTAGGAAGGAAAGTGCATAATGTCCTTATTAATGTGTGACTGAGGTAAAAGGGAGGGAGGGAGGGAGAGAGAGAGGTGAGAGGGAGGGAGGAAGAGAGAGGTGAGAGGAAGGGAGTAAAATAGAGGCAGCTCACGGTGAAAGACTTGAGGAGAATGGGTGTGGGAGTGACACTCTGAATGATGGCGATCTCTGCAGTGTTGCTGGAGCAGCTGGCAAACCACACAGTGTTGCTGTGTGTCTTTGTAGCACACTCGGTCTGTGTGGATGAGGTGTATTAGTAACATGCGTGTGCATGGTGCTTTAACTATACAGGCAAGTATCGATCACTTTTATATACACAAGCTTATATAAGCAGATTGGATTGCGACATACATGTGACCACTGAAGCATGCATCATGTTTTGCTTTGGGGATTAAGTGTTATTTTTTGCATCCTTAAATGAATGCTTCCCTTTACCCTTGACAATAGCACGTGCGTAATGGAGTGCAATAACTGTTTACTGAAACAGTGCTTTCTGTGTACCAAAACTACTATTAGTAACTATGGCGATTACTTACAGTGAGGCACTCAGAATTGTTTGTGAGGTGGTAGCTCTCCACGAAGAGGGGGAGGTGGCCGACGGAATCAATTATGACATCATCCTCAACACTCTCTGCACATACCCATGCCGTCTTGTTTTCCTCCTCTGACGATGAAAGAGTCAACCAGAGGGAGGAGATCATGGCTTACACAGAGACTACCATAAGTGCAGTTGGTTTATATTTAACACATTATTGAATGTACAACATAGTATTTGCTCATTTTGATGGTAAAGTATACATGTTTACATTGGCTGTTTTGAGTAATGTTTGCCATGAAAGTAGAAGCACTTACTTAGTTTAAGAGTGGCATATCGTAAATTGTTGACAAATGTCTGTTTCGACTTTTCCGATTCAAAAAGGTAAGTGTGATGAACTCTTTGAGTGCCATCCCTGCGTGAACAGTTAACAAAATGAATAAAATGTATGTGCGTCTGTGAGTAACATTATTCATGAGATATGAATACATTCAATAATCGTATGATGCAAGTTCTGTGTTTTATAGCCTATGGGATGGAATAATCCATATCTCGCTTAATCAGCATGCAAACCTTCTGCATTAATGCAAGTACTATTTCTGATTTTATGTGTTACGCAGGCCAATGCGTAGTTGGGTCATCTGTGCATTTATCTGGCTTCAGAAAACAGTTGTGGGACTCCATAAGAAGGGACAGAGGGTGGAGGAACTACAACATAGTGGACATTCACCAAACAGGTTTGTTTGGGCACAGAGAAATAATGGTTGTATGTACTGCTGACCGAGAGGGTATCTGGACGTCCAGTCTGCCAGGCTGACTTCTCTTCAGCTCCTCTCTGGTTCTGGCCAACTTCCTCTGTAGGACTCTCAGGAGACTCTGGACTGTTGCTAACTTCAGTCCCTGTCGTGGCCGGAAATAGGGCAGATGGTATTGACGATGTATATGTACTATGACATTCTAAGAGATGCCCTTCATTTCTGTCGCGGTGGGAAATCAGACAGAGGGTACATACATTGTATGTACTCTCTGATGAAGCTCATTCTAAGGGGCGCCCTTCATTGTAGGCAGAGGCAGTTGTGTAGTAGAACGAAATTTGCCACACACTTTGGTCGTCTCATGCTGCATGTAATTGGGCCACTACAAATGTAGGTAAATATACACTAGTTCACATAGTGACATCAGAGAGTTTGGTATCCTGCAGTATCTTACAGGATAGCTATCTTCCAGTGCGGACACAAGTGAGGCAATCTTGCTGATTGTCAGGAAGTCCTGAGTGTACTTCATGTACTCAATCTTGAGTGTTTTGTAGGCTGCTGCCTCTTCTGAATCATCTGATCAACACACAGATATTGCACTGAGTCAGTGAGGATGATAGCATTCTAACTTAAACAGTAGCCATAGCACAACCATGTAGAACACTAGAAACAGATATACAAGAGTAACTGGAATGGAGGTCAATTATTCATGGATTCTTATGAATGTGCATATATAAAAAATGTATATGTTTTGACGATGAAAAAGCTAAGGATGCACATATCTTAGCTGACCACCCGCAAGGCACGGAGATGCAAGCAGCGAGAATAATCTTTTAAACGGCAAACGATTTTCATGCTGTGAGTAAGCTTGTAACAACCAAATACTAGTCTTGTAAGCAGACCACACCCACTCATCACGTGTGAAAGAGTCTACTATTGACACATATCTCAGTCCTACGTAGATCAAGAAGTTATAGATCTCAAATCATCGCAAAATGACCAATCAATGTCCAGTGTATATGTACTTCGGTAGGCGGGGCCTTTTATGAATCACATATATACCAGAAGAGCAGTTCGGAGACTACGGATATATTGTCTTTAAGTCCAGAAAAGCTACCAGATACTCTTTCTCTCTTTGTTGGTCTGGAGTGACTGGGTACAAGGCTAACAGGGAAGTCCTACCATGGCTTTAGAAAACTGCTCTCTCCTGCAGGCACAGCTCTCTTTGACTTGGTACTAGCTACGTACTTGCCTTACCAACAGTATACAGTGTACACCTTTTCTCTGTTTTGTTGCCCTGAAGTGCATTTGCCCTAGGTTTTATACTACAACTCGATATAATAATCTGGCGCCTCACCTTGTGCAACCATGTGGTCCCAGATGTCATTGGAATAGTCAGGCTCCACGACTGAGAGTGTGTCCAGTGGAGACTGCCACTTACACTTGTAGTGGGCGTCTTCCAGCAGACCCACATTACTGCATAGAGAGAATGGGTACGTAGCTAGTAAGGTGGGTAGCTACAATTGATACAGTGGAACCTCCATATACAGTGGGACCTCCGATCCGAGATAGGGACAACCTCTCTCCAAAGAACACTTGTTTTAACCCCATGCTAATACTTTAGTGCATTATTTGACCCCCGAGATAGGGACGACCTCTCTACAAGGGACAAATCACTGGCCCTATAGTGTCCCTTGTTATGAGGTTCCAATGGACAACTGGGACCATGAAAGTGATACGGAGGTGTTTGTTCTTTTCAGAGGCACAAAAGTTTTAGCACCGGATCGAAACAAAAAGAATGCTTTAAGGTATTATACTGGTTTACGGCAGTCCACAGGGAAAGGTTTGTCAACCAACACACACCGCACTTTTGTGAATAGCTGACATCAGAAAAAATGCATGTGCATTTTTAGTGAGAGACACTGATATTTTACCGTGAGTCTCCATTTGTCTTCTTGTTCAGGGCGGCACACATGACCATGTTGTTGAAGAGGAGCAAGCTCCGTTTGTGCTGCACCAGATTATCGCTCCCCTGAGGGCTCAATATCTACACAACGACAATATCAAGGGCATGCCAATCCAACTGTTCTTTTGAAATAGTATTGAGAAAGTTTGAGCATAAAATCTAACCGTAGCTGTAAGTTCAACTGGATTGATATAAAAGTCAAAAATTATGCTTTCCTGCAGTCTACATCACTAAGAAACCAGTGGATGATGCTGTGTGTGCTAAACTGCCTTGTTACATATTGAGCTTAATATATAGTGGTGGTAGAAATTTTCCCTTGTACAGCTCATGCTGTACTGTGTCCGTGTTGAAACTATTTCTGTTTCGATAACCACACAGAGGGAGTACGTAAATACTACAAACCACAACATTGTTTGACCACAAGTTTCTGTGCTAGGTCAGCACATTTAAGAAAGCTAGAGTCTTCAACTGTCCTTCCACTGTTTCTGGATCAACCACTCCAAAAGAGGTGTGTATAATATACCACCTTTGAAATGCATATTTTGGTAGCAGTTGTGTTGGTAATGTATAGATTCATTCAAGGCTGTACTATATTCAATCATTATTTAAAAAAAAGGCCTCTCATATGTATGTAGTTGACCTATACAGTGCATGTGAAAGATGAAGGTAGTTAGAAAGGACTAAGTAACTTGCTATAAGGCTCTGCTAGGCTATAGAGCATATTCGAGTAAGTGCTACTGGTTTCTTACAAGTCTGGTGACTTGTTCCTGCAAGAGGAGACAGCGGTTGGGCGAATCACTGAGTTTGAAGGGAAGTTGACTGACTCTGGAGGAGAGATGGGCCACGATGGTCTGCTGTTCCTTGGTCCTCTTTGCCTCGTTCAGGTGCTCTGCTATTGTCTCGCAGCGAGCCAGGGCCAGCTGGAGAGTTACTCTGTCAGGGTGGTGTGGTGGAGTGTACTTTATCAGATCCTGGGTTGAGGAGAGAGGCAAAAGAATAGCTACAAGTTGCTTCCCTAGAATTTAGGGGAATGACAATTGGCTACGAGATGCATAGACTGAGAAAATAGGCATGATTTGATAGCATAATATGGCACATACCTTCACTTGACCAGTTGTTTATACCTGACTGTTGAATTTCGCAATCATGTTTAAGGATGTTATTCTCCCACAGGTAAGCTTATACATAGGCCCACTAGATTTGTATTGCCAAAGGGAAGCTGTTGAAAATTGATTTCAAACCTGTAGAAAGAGGATATATTGTGGGAATCGCTGCACAGGCTTCAGTAGCAGCCCTTGTAGGGAAAGACTCGTCTTGCTCTCGCGGTATCTCTGCTCGAGAAAAGTGACAAACTTCTGTTTCCGCTTGATGTTCTTCTGAAGTGTGGCCATTGCATCGGTGAAATTGTTGACATACTTCACGTAGTGAGCTATCACTTCTCTTCTGTAGAACTGTGAGTATGGGGGCAATAAGTGATGATCAAAGATTGCTGACTGCTTATTAAAAACACCTACCACCAAACTGTACATAGTCTACTAGCACATTGAATGAGTAGCTCAGTGGGCAAGGAAAATATTGTCTATACCAGTGGGTGGACAGCATGTGGGTGCAAAGGAAATGTCACATCCTGTTCTCACGGCAGGCAAAACCCATTGCTCATAGCTCGGATAGCTAGTCTCTCACAAGATCTTGTCAAACTGGATCTCATCATAAACTAAGGTAAGCTCTACTGATTCTGTATGAGCAGTAGTGTAGAGGGGAGTTTGTATGAACTATGAAGGCGAGTGCACGTGCAGGCATGCGCAGAAGTGAACGCGACCGGCCCCGAGCTCGCTATGCCAGCATGCGCACCAAATGCCTACTAGAGAACTGACCGTCATGAAAACGCTCCCCACTAGTTGTTTGGGACCCCAGTCCATGGACTTCTGAGTGAGGGCAGTGTAGAAGAGCTCGTGGTGGGCCATCAGGTCTCCAATAGGGCCAAACAAAGTCTTGACCTGTTCCTTGTCTATTGGAGGACTTGACATCTCCAGTAGTGGCTTCATGTATACCTGAATATGTTAGAGATACTTGGTAAAGTGCACTGTTCCTTGACTTATAACAGCTTCAACCGTTTAACAGCCCTGGGCCTATATAGTATCATTTGGCATTGTTAGCTTATTTCTGAAATGATGTCCACATAGGAAAATAAGCATGTTCTTAGTTGGAGAGTTATTTTACTGTCAATGAACTTTGAATATACCTGTTGAGCGACTTTGAGTGAGGTCAAGAAGGCAGCCTCTGATTTGACAATGTTCTCTATGATGGCATGGCACTTGCGCTGGAATAGAAAAAAGAACACAGAGTCCAATGGGGCCTTTCAGTGTCCAACAATGTCGGGTCATTGAGGCAAACTAAAGATCACTATAATACAGGCAGTGGCTGAACAGCCTGGCATTTAGTCTCCCGAGGGCCAAAATCTACAGCGTTAGTAGCTAACCACCCAAGTGGACCAGGGTTGCGTGTGAACTGAAGGAAAGGTGGGTCGTCACTATATCTGTACCATTGTCTCTTTCTACGCCAGAATGGATAGTGTGAATAGTGCTAATTCCTTGTCTAGGTTTACCGATAAGGCCTTGATCATTGTCTACACTTATGTACACTGGAGAGCCAGATATAGCATGAAATGTGTATAGTAAAGTCACGCAAACGTGACAGTGCAAATTATACCCAAGGGAGTATTCGCCCAACACACATTACAACGCACAGCTAGTTGAAAACAGTGGGTAGATCTATGAAGCCATCTATTAGCAATCCGTTCGAAACCAAGAGGCAAGAAATCAATCACACACGAGATGCATCAGTGAGATGAGCTGCTGTTACAAAAGCAGTTCTGTCTGCACATCATCCAAAATCAATGTCAATTTGCTTAATAACCTGAATTGAGCCTCAATTGTGAAAGACTGAAGCTACTATGTGTATGCCTAGTTCAGAAGTACTAAGCATACACATGATCCAGGTCAATCCAGATGGCACACTGCTATATGAATCCACTTTCAATGACGTGTGAAACAATGACTTAACTTAAGCTCTTTCATACCTGTCTGGTGGGCGCTCCCTGGTTGAGGGGAGGGAGGGGTGGGGGGTGGAGGACCAGTCCACGGTAAGCTGGACTCACTGACGATGGCTGCCTTTGAGGTTCACTGCTTGCTGAACATTATAGACCATGCATGTCAATCAGGCACATATTGAAGCGTAAGTTGCATCTGTGCACTATGTCTGGTCCAGATTTGCTTATAACACATGTGTTTGCAATAAGGCTGTGTCAGTAGTTGGGATGAGTTCTTACTTCGATATCTAGCACTTCACACACAACTAAGAGCTTGCTTGTTTACTGGTTTGCAAATAAAGGCTGCTTGGGAAGCAATTGTAGTATAGTACATGGCTAACCAGGTCTGCTGTACGCCTGCAGGCCAATCTCCATGCTCATATTTTCCAGCACTGCTCTGGACGTCTCCAGTGCCACTGTCATGTAGATCGACTCGGGCATGATACCAATCTGCTGCCGCTGCTCGTCCGTTATCCTCAGTCCCTGATATATCCCGTCCTCTTCCAGCTCCTCCCTGGATCGGGCTCTCGCCATTCGAGACTTGAACGACAGCATTGGCTGCAGTGGTGCAATATCTCCTTGGACATAGATCCTGGTGCTCCGCTCAATATTCTCTGTTTGGGACTGGCGGATCTTGGAAAAACGGTTGCTCTTCTTCCGCCTGACCCTCCCTTCTCCTCCCTCCTCTCCTTGCTCTTCTTCCCCGTCTTCGGGCTCGGATAACGAGTCTCCTCCATCGCTAAAGTCGCCGCTTTGACCGTCCCCCCTGCTGCCGTCCAGGAAATCATCGACCGTGGAATAGTCCCCCGATTGCTCCTGTTCTGGTGGTTGCTGTTGTTGCCTACGATCCTCTGCAGCTATTTGAGGAACTTGATCTAAAAAGGCCGACGGAGAGTCGTAGCTGCCGTCGACTGAGTCGTACTGAGGATCGTCGAAGACCCTGGCGGCCATGTCGCACACACCGTAAACGAAGCTAGCTAGCTGCAGAGCCTAGCCCTGCCCACTACAATCACGAAACTGCGCACGCGCAAGCGTTGTGTGCGGTTGGGTGTGGTAATGCACACCAGCGCTGCATCGTTCGCCTTTCTCCACGAATGGACTGTTTTTTTGCTCGAAGAAGCTTGTATCGGTAGTCTCGCAGCGAAGAGAGATCCGTTCTGGCCTGCAAAATGGGCAGTTAGTGCAATTGTAACTGGCCTCGGCAATCTCGCATGGGCAATGTGGAATCCGCGTCAGGAGTTGTTGACCGTTTTGCGAAGATGTATCTATAGGAGCTATCGCGTTTTTAGCAGCTCTTTTGTAGCCATCTTCCATGCTAGGCGTCTACGTTAATATAAGTCAGTGCATTAGTGAGAGAGGCGTAGCTACGGCCGGCTAGGTGTACCGTGCTTTTGAGCTACTATTTTTGGCAAAAAAATTTAATATTTGCTGTACTGTGTATAAATAGCGACGTATACGGTAACTGTAGCACAATTTTTGTTGCTATGGCAGATAAAGCCCCCGGCTGCTGCGCAGTTCCGGACAAGCAGCACTCACGGCGGCCTCCCTAACGCCATGCCAATGAGCAACCGCGCACCGGTAGATTGGAAATTCAAGGCAAGTCAACGGCTTTTTATAGACTGCCATGTAACTATGATCTCATGAGATAAACGTTTCCTGTCGCTGTTGGCTGTTGCGTAGATACTAGCTAGCTAGTTTGCACCTGTTCTCAGTGCATGCAGGTAGAATAAAGAGTGTGGCAGTTGGTTTCACCTGGCCGCGGACATTATTATAGCGTATATACTTGCATGCTAATCTATGCGGAATGCGATCACAATAAACAAAACAGCACAGCATCTTGTGCGCAGGCGCACGAGAGGGAGGCAGCACGCGCATGCGTTCAAAATTTGGCGGTTCGAGATTCGAAACGAGCACGACGGTGAACCAACCCAGAAGGCGTGCCAACTCGTCCATAATTGTCAGGTATTATCATGGTATTGCAATAATACTTACACATCTAACCTTGGTAGTAACTCATCTCACAGGATAGCTCTATTATTCATCGCAGAAAATGGTTGTGTGGAAAATCAGGAGCTACCTCTACGAGCCCCGCCCCTGCGTTCAATCGATAGCCGGCGCGGCCGGCCATAATTAGCTAGCGAGCGAGCGGCGACGCGCATCTGCTGCCTCTGCGCGCGCGCGCCCTAGCATGGCATGCGCATGCGCATGGGCAGTATCTGCTATGCGCGCGTAGTACGTACGTACGTACGTTGGTACTCGCGTGCTGACACTTCTTTGTGCCTTTTGGCATGTGTAATAATAAGCCATTATGACACTGCTGGCTCTTTTCTTGGCTAGCAGCAACTTCTATTTACATACATGTAGCTATATCCGTCTTACACACACACATACAATCAACACACAGAGCCATGTCGGGCTACGACTGCAAGTTTGTTCACCCACTGCTGAAAAGACACGAGTGTCCACTGTGCCAGCTAGCAATGAGAAACCCAATGCAGACGGAATGTGGCCACATCTTTTGTAAGGAGTGTCTGGAGCCAGCCCTCAGCCATAGACCTCCACTCTGTCCACTGGACAAGGAGCCCATCTCAAGAGAAAGTGTAAGAAAAGTAGTATAATAACTCTCTGTGTTGAGATAGTATCTGTAACCCACTTGTTACACTTGTTGAACATGTGTAGGAGGTGGACCATAGACTGCCTACATGTATATACATGTAGTGCATATTATACAAGAGTATTGTAAACGCACATGTAGTAACATCTGTAACCTCATTGTTATGTTGAGCATTTGTACGAGTTGTGTCAATAATCAGACTGCCTACTGCCTACATATAGTACATAATATAGTACAAGAGTGAAGGTGCATGTACATATATAGTAACATGTACAGGGATGGACTTCTGCCACTAACTACCGCCTGCCTGTTGCTACAGATATTCCCAGACAATGCCTGCAGGAGAGAAATACTCAATCTCGACGTGCTGTGTGGGTCCAGTGGTTGCCAGTGGGCCGGGAAGCTCAGTGATCTTGAAGTGAGTCCCAAATAACACAGCAAAAAGGTGGCGAAACGCCGAAAACGTTCAAAGTTGGTCCCTGCCCTACAAACCTCACGGAGAAAGCATTAGTAGTTGGCTCTCAACAACTTAATGATTCGTTCAAGTTTCTCTCTTAACCTAGCCCCGGGGATAGAGGAGCATCTAGTAGCTTCTGACTCGAAACATAGTCTGAAGGACATCATATCGAACCTCTCTTTTAGTATGCGAGGCTACATACTCCCCATATTTCATTTACCCTTTCCCCCCGGCCTACAAAGGCCCATGCAGCCGAGTGTGAGTTCTCAGAGGTGCAGTGTAAGGTGTGTGGGAACCACGTGCAGAGGAAGAGTCTCCCGGGCCACATGAAGACCAGCTGCCCCATGAGACCCGAGCTCTGCGTTCACTGCAGCAAAGACGTACCCTTCCAACAGATGACGGTTTGTTTTGTTATTATCATGAGTCACGGGGTGTATATACACACAAGGGCAAATGCACATTAACTACACGCAAGAGAGCTGCTAGGTGGCCAGACTGTGTGCCAGATAATATGCAAGCGTGTCTTGTCCAGCTGCCAAGTCCTGTAATACATGTTTACTCAGGTGGCTCCACCCACCAAACTTCCCCATGTTTTGTACTATAACATACTCCCGGGCTGTTGTGTAGCATAATATTATAGTTTTCCCAAAGTATAGCACATGATGCTTTAGAGTGTTTAACGTAGGTACCATAGCTGTGATGCCCATGCAAATATACTTGGACATCTTCCCAAATGATAGTAAGCAGTAGGGCCATAAGTATGTATGTACATATCTCCCCCTGAACCCCCAGGCCCACCTGTCTAAGGTGTGTCCTGAAGTCCTTCGTTCCTGCCCCAACAAATGTGATCCAAAACTACAGATGAAGCTCCATGATGTAAGGATTCTCATACATACCACACATACTGTTCTTCTGTCTAGCTTCATATGCACATTCCACCTTCTTAACCTATTGTAGATACTCTGTACCCAATAATAAAGTCCTACATGTATTTCTGCAATGTTTACCTTCAAAGCCAGACTTGTACATGTACTTTGAAAGCTGCTGTTTCCTTATGCCACACTCTCTGAGTTTTTCCAACCCACACAACCCACAGACACTTATGTGTGGTCTGCAGACCACACTAGTTGATACATACCTAACCTCAGTGGCACCATTGCAGTAGAATCTAGTCTAATACTATTGTACCAACGTCTCGAATTCCAAGATTATTTTACACACAATTGTATGTGCTTGATCTGGCTGGGGTGCATGTGAACTCAAAATAAATCCTTTTGCTTTCTAGGAACGGAAATTTACTGTACATATGTACATACGTAGGCAATGGAGGAGATTGATTGTGATGAGTTCTTTGTATCCATAGTTGGAGAAGCACGTGAGTGTCAGCGAAGGTAACTGCCCACTCTCTACCATCAAGTGCCCTTACAGTGTCTTCAACTGCAGCTTTGTTGTAAGTCAGCCAGTGATAAACTTGTGTGTAAAAATGGTAACTATGCTAATGTAATAATTCCCTGAAATATGTGAAAGCATACAAATGCTGTGTAGTGTAAGCAAAACTAATTGTGTCTCTTAAGAGTGTATACTGTGTACACTAAAAACTGAGGAAAGAGGAATTTTTATCTTTTCCTCCGTTCACAATTCCACTCACAGAGTATAAGGCAGAATATTGACAACCACTTGCAGCAGTTTGCCGTCTACCACGCACAGATCCAGGCCCAGCACTTCTCCCTGCTCCTCACCTCCATCGAGAAGATGAGGGTCACCCAGCAGAACCAGAGCGAGAGAGTCCACGCCCTCGAGCAGCTTGCCTCCGGGACCGAGAGACGACTAACAGGGCTGGAATCGGCAATCAAGACACTCGGGGATCGATCGGAGGGTGCAAGATCCAGCGGGAGCACGCTCGCAGCTACACAACCCCCCTCCCCAGTTCCGGGTGCCAGCCACTCCCACCCGCCCCTTCAAGAGTTAGAGGCACTCAGGTCAAAGGTTACTGAGCTAGACCACAGCCTCGACCGCTGCCTAAGTAGTTCCCTGGACCAGGAGCTGCGACTACAGCTTCTGGAGCGAGCCACCTACAACGGAATACTATTGTGGAAGATTGACGATTTCACGCGACGTCGGAGAGAGGCCGTGGATGGAGTAACGCTCTCACTGTACTCCACCCCGTTTTACACCAGCCGACACGGGTACAAGATGTGCGCGAGAATATATTTGAATGGAGACGGGCTGGGGAAAGGTTCGCATCTAAGCTTCTTCTTTGTCATCATGCGAGGCCCGTTTGACGCTCTTCTTACGTGGCCGTTCAAGCAGAAGGTGATGCTCACGCTAATAAACCAAGTCGGAAAGAAGCACATTACGGATCACTTCAGACCTGACCCTGCCTCAAGTTCGTTCCAGAGACCCGGACGGAAAGAGATGAACATTGCGTCGGGGTGCCCGATGTTCATCAGGATAGACCACCTCCTCAATGGTGGATTCATAAGAGACGATTCGGTATTTCTGAGGATTGTTGTCGACACCTCCGACCTCCCCAAAGTTGTTCCCTAACCTTACAGTCTGATACCTCGTACCTCCTTCTTGCCTCAATTACTCGCTGGAATTAAGCAGTCTTTGCCGTTTACAGGCAGCCTTTACAGCGACTGACACTATTCCCCTTGACCGTTTGCTTAAGGCAGTAATTACGTGTTCTCTTTCGCATGGTACTGCTACGATTTGTCCTTGCTTTCTTCTATTATCCTGACTAAGATCATGGTGCACATTCTCCTATAGTCCTGACTCAATCACAATAACACTGGACATATTTGTTTAATACTGGATCTTGCACATACTCATTGCGGTTATGCTTTACTAATTCAAGCTCAATGGATGTCTCTAAGCGCAGATTACTTCGTGCAGTAACGTTGATTGCATTTGATCATCAATATTATTATTTCCACTGTGATATACATTGTTTATTGTAACACATGGAAAAGTTACACCCAAGTTGAAAATAAATAGTGATAATTACAAGTGTACAATTGACCCTAGTAATAATACTATGAATGTACCAGTTCTGACTGAATAGCCTTCTTGTACTGGTCGAGGCCCCCCTCTAATCTGTGCACTAATTTGTCTTTGCACAGCCAGACTGCGTTGCAGCACAGTTTAATGAGATGCTCATCGTGAGATACAAGTAATACTCCTCCCTGCACCAGTAGAACCTCACATAAACAAGCACACTATCTTATGTATATTATACATAGGATGTTTGGGTATAAGAGATTTTCACCCACTCACAGAAAAACATGCAGATAGATGTGTAGGATGATTGAGGTATATAGGTAATAAAAGAAAAAATTAATTTTGCATTGTAGGGCTGCCCTCTAAACACAAGCAGACTATATAATTATACTATTCCTCCTATGCAGGCAGTGAGTGGATTCAGTGACTTCAGTGCTTGCCAAAAGGTAAATCGTGCATAAGCCAAAACCATAATTTTTGAGGTTGAAAAAAAATTAAAATTCCACCCGATCCTATATCTCTCCAGACTATGGACGCAGTGCAATGCCAAACTAATCTACGCTGTCCAAAAAAAGGTATGCAAAGTTAAACTTAGGATTATTTTAGGAAAAGATAAGGTTGAAAAAAAATTAAAACATTCTAGGCGAAATAAGAGCGGCCATGCAACTGCCTTACCCATGGATGGTTTTAGGCAAAAGTTGAAAAAAAAGTTGAAAAAATATATAATGGGCCAGCCCTCAATCTCTCCAGACAGACATCTACGGACGCAGTGCTATGCCGAACTATACGCTGCCCTTTGAGAAACATGGGTCAGTGGTAGATTCGTGGGTAAGGGGAGGAACCAGAGCTGTTCCAGCCAATGCTCTGGACCACCTGTCAGTTTCAGTGCGGGTCCGGGATTCGAACCGGGCACCTTATGTGACAGTCCCCACGCCTCTAACCACTCAGCCACTTGGCTGGCCACGAGAGCTTATGAAAAAACGTTCCTCTTATATCAACACTCATTACATCATTATAAAAAAGATGACCACTAGACAGGGATCGAACCGGTGACCTCGGTATCATAAGTGAGTCCTTAACCATTAGACCACACCCAATACTTGACAGGGGCAGGTTTAATAGTGTAGAATTATAGTATTATTATGATGGCAGATTTGGAGTATGACATAATTATCGGAAATTACTCACAGGGAATCTATTGAGGGCTTTTCCTAGTGCTTCCACTGACTCCACATCCAAGTGGTTTGTCGGCTCATCAAATATGAGAAAGTTGGGTCTGAAAGAATATAACACAGCCAATAGCACCGGGAACACAAACAAATAAGTAAAAACCTGGTGGTTACGCTGGTATGTGTATGTGTTATTCCTGTGTTACACTGAGTAAGTTTGCCTTTGCCTTGTATCGTGTTGTATAGTGGGCAGCTAATAGTGGGCTTAATGGAGCTCTACCTGCTGAGCTGCCATGGTAGTGTCCTGTCGTTTGATGCTTTCATGATTCGTGCAAATGTTATCACAAGTACGATAGTACTTACAGATGGGCATGGTACCTAGCATGATAGATGTACGGGCTATGATAGGGATTCTATGGCATTTTGAGCATGTATATACCGACCTTGGAACAGCCAAGATGGCAAAGGCTAGGCGACTCTTCTGTCCCCCAGAGAGGGAGGCAATGGGCCTCAGTGCCAGATCAGAAGACACTCCAAACATCCCCAGAGCATGTCGGTACTCCTCCTCCCTCTTTCCTGCAGTATGGGGTTAATACACAGTGGAGCACCTCTAAACTGGACCCCAATGGGACAGAATGAAGTGCATATGTATCCTTCTTAGTTTGGTGTTCATATTACATGAAATAGGTGTTCTTGGGAAGACCTTTCATGTAGAGGTGTCCCTATTTTAGCTGTGACTTT